TTTTTTTTTTTGAAAACCTGCAACATATATGGGTAATTATTGAGTTGTTCATATTATATATATGTAGGCCATTTTTATTTTTTATTAAAAAATTACTACATGATAAGTTTTAATTTGTTCCTTCTATGTATCAGGGTTGTATATCTATGTTCAACTAGTAAAAAATATATACAAGACAGATAGATAATTAAAGTACAAAACGAAAGAGAATAAATATTAAAAATAATATATAAATATATAATTTAAGAAGAACTACAAGAATGTGATGAAATTCCAATGGAAAATTCTAAAGGAAACATATTCCAATGGAATTCCAACAGAAAATTTTATTAGATATTCAAATGTTATTATGTTCGTTTAAATTTTTAAATGGATTCCAACGGAAATTCAAACAAAAATATTATGTTAGAATGAATTTACCATTGGAATTTTTGTTGGATTTTGATGATCCCAACGGTACATTCTCCAACGGTTCATTTATGGGTGAAAATAAAAATTCTAATGAAAATTTTATATTCCACCAGAAATTCCTGCGGTAAAAAACCGTTGAAATAATAGCCGTTGGAATGATAAAATTTCATCTAAAGAAACTCATTCCAATAGAATCGTTACGTTGGAATTTTCGTTGAAATCATTCCAACGGAAGCTATACCATTAGAATATCCGTTAGAATTTCCATTGTAATATAGTACCGTAAGATTTTCCGTTGGAATATGATTTATTTTTTTATTTTTTTTATTTTTTTTTTTTTTTGTAGTGAAGATTTGAAGGTTATATTAGGTAAAATATGAAATGCTAAATTTATTTTTATTTTCTATTTGTAGTGTGCAATAATAGTGCCCCACAATAGATTTACTCTCTTTTATGTAAGGAAATTTGTGTTTATGTTTATTTACAAATGATATCCATGCACAATTAACAAAATTTCTAGCCTTGATTCTGATGCACATTACAAAGAAAATCTAAAACAAAGACTTTTCCGTTCAATGAAATAGCCCAAATCTCATGATGGTGAAACTTCTCTATTCGATAACAAAATCTCTACTTCATAAAAGTAAGTTTCCTTTGAAATAAAAGGAGCAACAACAATTACAAACCCAAACAAATTATTCACACGTCTAATTATATTATTGGGCTCTTTTTTTTTTAAAAAAAAAAAAAAGCTCGCTTACTCAAAATTCCATAATTGTCACATAGCGTTGAAGTTTAACATAGCTCAACATTCCAATTAAACCACTTGGATAAAATTAACAACATAATAAAATTAAATATTATGTTTAATTTGAAGAAAATATCATTGCCACAACCTATACAATTCCTCCTATAAATAGCCACCCTTTTGCATGGCCACAAACCACCAAAAGCTCCCAATACCCTAATTCTAAAGCATCCATTTCTTTCCTAATTCCCCATGGCTTCATCATCCCACCAAAACAACCCTCCTCATGAGAACGAGGACAACAACAATAACAATAACAATGACGATGATTACAACAATGACCCTTACGCAAACTATCCTACTGAAACGTCCAAGCGCAAGAAGGGCAAAGGTCGGAAGAAGGTGGCCTTAGCTCGCATCGAAAACGATACGAGCCGCCAGGTCACCTTCTCGAAGAGGCGCAACGGCCTCTTCAAAAAGGCGAGCGAGCTCAGCACCCTCTGTGGGGCTGAAGCCGCCGTCATCGTCTTCTCCCCTGCCGGAAAGGCCCATTCCTTCGGTAGCCCCTCTGTCGACGCCATCACTGGTCGTTTTCTTGACCAAATGAACCTTTACCCAGAAAACGCTCCCCTTCCGCCTCTACCCCCACCCCGACCACAGAACCCCGTCATGCTCCAACAAAACCGTGAGCTCGACGAGCTCGAGGAGCAGTTGAACGCCCAAAAGAAGTCCCTTAACCAATATGAGGGCAACAAGACGATCAACATCAACAAGCTCGACTACAAAGGTCTCGACAAGCTCAAGAACTCTATAAAAGGTATGAAGAAAGTCTTGAATGTGATCAAGTCGAAAGATAGGGGGAATCTCCCTGCAAACTCTCACCCAGAGGGCCCGCATCCCGTAGAAGGGGCCGGAGGGGTCTTCCCGCAACTGATGGCCCCCGGAGGTGGTCCGGGATTGGGTTTTCCAATGATGGACCCCAATATCCAAATGCCAAACTATGGGGGCCTACCTCCTTTGGGTGGGTCCTCGGGCTACGTGAGCAACACTGGCATGCCATTCTTTCCTTACATGTTTGACCCTAACCTTAACCATAACCCTAACCCTAACCTTAACCCTGGGTTTGTGGACCCATTTAATCCTACTCTAGACCAGGGTTTTGGGGTCCCGTTCCAATTTCCTCTATTGGAGGGCAGCTCAAATATCACCCCTGGGCAACAGCCTCACCCTGGCCAGGATATGCTGTCGTACGATCGTGTCATAGATGGTGTCAGCCCGAGGGAACAAGGAGAGGGATCTAGCAGAGGAAGACAGAGCAATAATGAGGAGAATTCGATGGAATTTGCTAGGGATAATCGTGGTCGTGGTCGTGGTCGTGGTCGAGGACAATAATTGGATCATAAGTTATATAAGGCTAATTGGAGTTTAAGTTTGCTATGTTAGATTCGTTTAATGTGTTGCATTGTTCGTTGTTTGTCTTCTTTCTTTGTTAGGGTCGGGTAATTTGTCGTGTCTGTCCATCTAGGTTTCTCGATCTAGAATGTCTCGTCGTGTCGTGTTAGGTTTAATTCGATCAACGATCGAGTTAACTATTTATCGTTTTCTATGTCCTTTTAGATATGGAGTGTGATCTTTATTGTTACTTTCATTTAATAAAATTGGCCTTATAATTTGAAATAAGTTGTTTTGAAATTGTATTGTTTTATAACCAGATGATATTATATGAAACATGTTAGAATCAGACACTAACGACCTCGCTAACTATAATCCTTATAACGATGTTATTAACTACACTCTTCATGTTAAATTTTATGTAACTTTAATGACAAGTAAACTTTTACAACAAAATGAAAGAATGGCTGACGTCTTAGGATATTATTAGTACTGACTATCAAAGTCGGGATTACTACAAAATCAAACATTATATATAGCTATGTTTCAACTCTTATGCTATGAAATGGTACTTTAAACTGAAAAAGTACAATTTCATGAGTCAAATAGTTTTAGAAATATGGAAAGTCGGTCACCAATAAAACATTGATTATTTATACTTGTGATGAAGCATGAAGTTGAAACAAACTTATAAGGAAAACTATCAAACATTTATTGTATACTTTTAATTGTATGATTATAAATATGCCAAAAGTAAAAGTAAAGAAATATCGTATATAATGAAATAATATCGAGCAAATAATGTTTCCTCCATTTCCAAAGTCGATCATATGTCGATCGCATAAAAATCTTCATTGCCATGGACCTTAGCATTACGTTCTATGGAATTTTTCGAATAATATCGACAATTCGATATCATATCTAGTATTAATTTATTGATAACCACGTGTAGGACATGCATGTACAAACCATTTATATGTTCAAATAGTTTATAATCAAAAGTAACAATCGACCGAATGAAAGTTGTTTTACAATATCAAGCTATTTTCCTTTTCTCTATAATGTTATGTAGTCATCATTATTATGAGTAATTAATGTTCAAATAATTTGTTCAAAACTAGCAATTTTTCCTTGGTCAATCATTAAATTAGATGTTATCTATCATCTCATTTCTCCAAACTCTGAAAAATTGTTACCGTGTAACATGTATTACAGATCTTGAAGAAGGCATAGATGAGTCGAACATTTAATTTAAATGACAATAAATCCCACTAAATAATGTTTTATTTAATGTTAGAGTATCTCTTGTGAGTTGTCCCACATTGATTCTATAGGAAAAGTGCCTTGCTTATATGCCTAGTGAGTTACTCCTCTCATCACCAACTGGTTTTGGGATTGAACTTCACTATGGTGCACCTAAGCCCACCCTCTGATGGTGTGCTTCATCTACGTAGGACTGCACCCTCTTGCTCTGATTCTCTAATCTTACATTTATAATATTTGTGCATTATATTGATAAGTGATTTATTCAACTTTTTTATGATTTGAAATAGTTTCTTTGAACGTTGATTATGGGTGATTTTGAAGGTGGGTATTGCCCAAATTAGTATAGTAAAACGATAAAATGTTCAAGCGATAAGATGAAAAAGCTACTATTGCCTTTTTTTCTATGTAATTTTTTCAAGTGTTTACATATGGAGAAACTTTGTATTTATAGTAAAAGTAAAATTTATTTTCCTTTATGATTTATGCGTGTTAGTCTTCCTGCACTCTTGATATTGACCATTTAGAGGCTTAACATAGGAATGATGAAATTCGATATGTTCAATTATCACCAATTGCTCCCGTTATCGGGTTGGATTGCATCGATATTCAAGCACTAAAACATGTGTGCACATTTGTTTGAAGAACGTTTCGTCCGAGTAATGCATGGGCCAATAACATTTAATGAAGTCCTACTATAATTAACCTTCTACTATTTAACTTTTCCTTTAACACTTTCCACAACTGCCTAGCCGTTAGAGAAAAATTCAATCTTGTTTTCAGCAATACACGACAAGTCCAAAGAGAGAAAGTTTTTGGTTGCAAACGGTGCGATTGGAAGGTCCTCTCTCCGTGCGATCCCATGGTTGAGGCTTGACATGATGTTAGAAGTTTTTCTTTTGCTCTTTTGTTCTTCATTTATATTTTTTCAATTTTCTCCAATGAACAAACAAGATATCTAGCGCGAGCAATAGTTAAAATGATAATCCATTCAAATTGAGATTTGGGGATTTAGAAA